TTATTAAGGTATTTAAGGCTTATATTGCGTGCAATAATTAGGTAATACTAAATCTTAAGTTATATAACAAATTATCATCATTTTTGAGACGTGTTTTCATCGTTTAGTCGCCGGACTTTCATCCTATAAAACAAGTAAATCTTATTTTAATGCATTGGAAAACGAAATAAAATTTTTATTAAATAAAAATATTGACTTATTTCACAAACAAAAAGTGATATTAAATATATATTTAAAAATTATATTTATATATTTAATGTTTATTTTAATATAAAACCTCAAAATTTCCTTTTTCTAACAAAATAAAAATCAATATATTTTATAACTGTATAAACAGTGTTTATTAAACACTTACCGTCTGTTTTGAAACCACACTTTAACCTAAAATTGAAAATAATTTTTAATTAATTGAAAATTTATACTAAATTTTGCATTCAGTAATCAATGAGAAAAATATTGGTAATAATTTGCAGAGCATTACATTAATGCAAATATTTACTGTAAAACACAAATGTATTAATAAAACAAAATTAAAAGCAATTGAATTGCATTACAAACCTGGCGTTGGCAGTCTAAATTAACATGCCGTTAAAGCATGGCGGCCTCAGCACAGTCCATGACCACGACTCTCTTGACCCGGAGGTTACTGAGGTTGACAACAAATGACTTATCACAGGAGAGGAATGCTGAGTGAGCCCCGACGTCGTCGGTGCCGACACCGGCGCCGGACACACCATCGGCGCCCGCACTCTCACCGTAGGACTCGTTGTATTGTTGATTCATATTGTAATTATCGTCACAAATGTAATCCATTATTAAAATTTGATTTTTCACTTCAAAATTATACAATACGTTATACTTTTGGTTACTTTTATGCACTTGTGTTTATGGCTTTGATGCTAAATGTGAGATTTAAATAAATAAGTTTTATTTGTGCACTTTCTCTCAATACAGTCCACATATTATATGGTTAAGTGTTTCACCACATGTTCGCTGGGGTTTGGGAGCTGGTGTTCGGGTGGGCCGGAGACAAGTGGTGACAGATATTTATTGCACTATTCTTATGGATAAACTCATTATTAATTACCACAAAAATTATTGAACAGTTTCTGTTTGGAAATTCTGAATAAAAAAAAGTTGTTTATATTTGTTTGACGAATGAATTTTTTTACTATTTTTTCGCTTTATCTAAAATAAAGTGTGTTTACTGTAACGAGTGGGCACTCTATCAGTAGCCGGGCATCCGTTGTATCAATACATGATCTGTGATGTGAGTTATTTCCACTCGATGAAAAGACACTTCCCGCTCTCTCTCTCTCTCTCTCTCTCTCTCTTTCTCGCAACACGTGTTATGGGAAACGCTTGTGACGGACGGAGTCATCGAGAGTTGTCGTCGGAGACCACTGAAGCTGATGGACAGCTCTAATGAGTTTTTAATGAGTGAATATTCAATGATTAATTGGCATTTGGGATCCGATGCGAGTATACATACAGTACATGTGCAGTATGTGTGAGAATGGGTTCATAGTTTTATGTGTGCCCTTAAAGTACATTATAAGTTATAAAGTAAAAGTTTATTATAACTTAATCTACAGCTTCTTTATCTGTAGGAAATGGTACTGAAAATATTGATAATTTTGATTATAGCAAAAAATTAATACACAGTCAGACGTTTTAACTGACCCGGGGAAATATAGTCACTTATAATATTATGATATGATAACCAATTGATGAGAAATTACTTTATCTCCAGACTTTATACATTATAAAGTAGTATAAATTATTTTGAAGTACACATTATGTAAACATTGAATACAATTTATAAGAAATTTCAGAACAATGTTACTATTTATAACATGTTTTAATGATGATATTTTAAATGTGTTTTATAGTTGAGCTGTTGTGCAATACAATAATTAATTAATAAGTTATCAACACATAAAAATTCATTATAGTTGTTATAAATATATTAAGAATTAATAAGAAAATGTATTAGTGTTTGACATAAGTTTCTAAATGATTTAAAATAATTTATTTGCATATTTATAAAAATATGAAAATCCTATGAATGGTATGAATAGTAAATAGACGGGGAAATAAAGTCCAATACATCAATCAAACAAGTGTACAGTATATCAATTAATCGACCTTGCTGATGGGAGAAAATACGCATCTTTATCATAGTGTATTGGATTTCGTACACTATATACTAATTGTTGATATAAAACCTGTTTAACTTAATATGAAATTAAGTACATTCACAAAATACCACAAATCATAACATACTCATCAAAATCATACGATTTTTTATTCATACAATTATTACTTTAAAATTAATATAAATTTTGTTAAAATTCCACTAATAATTGCTCAAAAATTTTGCGATAAGTTATACATATTGTTATATTTGCGGTGTTGATGAAAAAGTTATTAATTCATTGAAATTTGTGCAAAAAATACATCAAAAAGATAATTTGTTGTTTGAGAGGGAAATTATGTTTGATATGTTGTTTGTCTGCTAAAAATAATCATCAATTATATTTCCTTGTAATCGATCGCAAAGCTTATGTAATAATTATTTTTAAAATTCAATTTTCATATCATTTTGATCGCAAAACTCGTGGAGAAGAAGACTAAACAATGAGTAAAATAAGTGTCAAAAATCTGTTTATCATAGGATTTTGTGGTTTCTTTGTGTTCATCGCCTGTTTGTTAGCAAATCTAATACAACTCATCAATTATTTGACAATTAGATACGTTAGCATTGATTACTACCGCCGAATCAATGCGTGGCTTCAATACTTTGTATACTCGCGTATGTATTGCTAAATCATGTCAATAAATCACACAAATTTACCAATCAATATATGAACATAAATTACTACTTATAAATAAATTAAACACTATCAAGGTCTCAATAGATCCACGTGTTGATTATACCAGAATCAAACACTCTTACCCAGTTTTAAAACTAACAAAACAAAACATTTGTATTAAAAACAATACAGAATTCATAGCGATAACTGAGTGGTGGTCAAAGAGCTCAGTGACCATCTATGCGGCGGATGAGGCGACCGCACGTATGTTTGGCAAAGAGCACGCGTTCATTGTGGCCAACCATCGGTACGAAGTGGACGCTGTGTTCATGTGGTTAGTGTCCAACAAATTCAACGTTTTGGGCGGATGCAAGGCTTTCGGTAAGAAAGATCTTCGGTATACGCCAATCATCGGCTGGACCTTCTTCTTCGGCGAATACATATTCCTGGAGAGGAATTGGCAGAAAGACTCCATGAATATCGGCTCCGGCATCGATCGCTTAATGGCTCACAAACACCCCGTTATTCTGATGATCGCCGCCGAAGGCACCAGATTTACGGCACAGAAGTACGAGACGAGTATGAAGTTTGCCGCCGATCGACAGCTCGGTGTCCACTATAATCATCATTTGTTGCCACGAGTCAAGGGTTTTGCCTATTCTGTCAAACACTTGAAACAAAATTGTAAGTAATTTAAATGAATTTAATTTTTGTAGCTTATTTAATCGTGGTGCTTTTATCACTATTTAGACCCCGAGTGCGCTATATATTGTTTTCAGATGGCATTTGATGAGACCCGGGAGTCAATCAAAGTGTCCACTTTATTCAAAGGACAGCCAATGCATTGCTCGATACATCTGAAACGGGTTTCGTTGAGTACTGTTCCCACAGATACTGACGAACAGATCACTCAGTATTTGTACGATCTCTTCACCGAAAAGGTGCGCAAAAATTCATTTTATAAAATTATTTCAAGAATATTCTGTCGATTCTTGCAATGTATTTACAACATTTTTAAATACGGTATTTGTACAGGATCAATTAATGGACTACTATTATAAAAACAAGTCATTCCCAGGCATTAAAATACCAACAAAAAGAAGTGTTTTACCCTTGATATTGTTGTGGGCAAGCATTTTGGTGGTGGGCACTTCTCTCATATATTTGTTGGTTAATGTCTTTATTTCAGGCAATCTTATGCTTATACTTATTACATCCTTATTAATAATCTCAGGTTTGATTACCATAATGTAGTTTTTATATATAGAAATGATTTATTGTTATTTGTTGATAGCATTTACCGGAATATATTTGACCATAAATTCTGCCCGAATATCAAAGGGTTCCACTTATGGCACTATTAATGGTAAGGAATCACACAATGTATTAACGACTGGAAAGTCAAGTAAAAGAGATAACAATTTCAATGCAAGTCCTAAAGAAGATTAAGAAAAATTGTGCCAAATTTATCATGTTTTCAGAGTTATGTTGTTTTTACAATTAAAAATACAAATTTTGCCATAATCTCAGTCAAAAACAGTGCAATTTTTATATGAATTTATGATGGATTTAATTAATTTAATTATAAATTTAAAAACGTTTTATGTTTTTAGGAAATTTATATAATCTTTTCATTACTTAAAATATATAATTATAATAAATATTCAGTTTTTTCAATTATTAATTTCATTGTGTGCTCTAATTATAACATAACTTATATTTAATTTTTCCCAATTCCTGCCCTTATTTTCCCATAGACTCGAGTACTTAAGCGCTTATTCAGCGATCACTACTTAAGACAACATATTGTGATAAAATTAATTTTCTTATGTTTTGCAAAAACACAAAAACTTTTACATTAATCGTAATATTGTGTTATTATTTTACAAATAAAAAGAATTTAATCTATTTGTGCTACACTTGAATTTAATAACTCAAAAATTGTTTCAAACTTGGTAAACGATTAATGTCATCGATAATAAACATAATTAAGGTAGAACTATAATATTAATATTTGATTAAAATACAGTAACCAATAAATTAATTAAAAATAAAACATTTTATTATTGATTTCAATTTTATTAGCCAAAGAAAATTAATTTAAAAATATAACAAAAACATTATCATATGATTGGAAAACTAATTTCTTAATTACAGACAAACCATTCGTTTAAAACTTTAATTTCAAACCAATTTGTAATTAATAATAAACAGTTAAAAGAAAATATACAGTAATTACAAGTGAATGAATGAATACAAATATATTGTTGATTACAAATGTGAGGCCAGAATATTCTTAT